CTCTCTCTCTCTCTCTCTCTCTCTCTCTCTCTCCCTCTCTCTCTCTCGGCTCCCCCATGTTTTACGCCCCCCCTGCAGCTCCTGATTACGGATCCGAAACCTGCTGGGCGTTAAACTAAAAGCACGAAGCCGGGAGCCGAGCGGCGGCGCTGCGCGGTCGCGCTGTGGCGTGGCGTTGGTGGGGCGCTGAGGCAGGCGGGGGCGGCGCACGGCAAGCGTGGACCAGAGCAAGCCGCAGCGAGGGAAAAATAATAATAGTAAAATAAAAAAGAACAACAACCGCGCTGTTGGGCCACGAGAGATAAAGTGTTGTGAGGTGTGATTAAATCCCATTATGTGAAAACGAGTATCAAAGGAGGTAGGGCGCCTTCATGGTGGGCCGGCGACGGGCGGGGCGGATCGGGGCGGGCAGTACGAAGTTTATCCCCGACCCGACAGTAAACGCTTTCCGCGATGCCTCCCTCCCCCTCTGTTTTTAACCCCTGTTATTTTTTCTCCTTCTCCTGCGTGCGTCCGCGCGAGGCTCCGGGAAGGCGGCCGGGCCACCTGGGCGGCGTGCTGTGCCTGGGAAACTATACCGCTCGCGGCTCTTATACTTTTATTTGTACCGTTATATTTAGACCCGTCAAACTCTGCTTGTGAGCCTATCAAGGGGAGGCGTGCGTGTTGCTGTTATCGGCATACTGGAGCAGCCAACGCGAGCGCTTCAAATTTAGAGGTGTATCGAAGTTCTAAAAGCTTTAGGCTAGGCCTTATATTCCTAAAACTAAAGTTGTTTTCGGCGGGTCTCCTACCAGTCAATCTGGCGCCCAACTTGCCAACTTTGTACCATTATTTTGGGAGTGGGGGACCCCTCGATTTCTTTTACTCATGCTCATGGTCTAAAACTGTAAAAACTAATGGTGTCCTTTATAAAAAGCAGTGCGTACCTTTAAAAAAATCTTTTGTTGTACATCCACTTTTCTCTCTCAAATAAATAATGTGCCAAACTACTTGGCCCTCATCTCACTCGCCCGCTCTCTGTCCGCAGCATCCTAGTGCGCGCCATCAGCTACACGGTGCACGGCCTCATCCCGGCGTCGTGCGTGTTCGCCGACCGCTATAACCGCGAGGAGGTGGTGCGCTCGCTCGGCAAGGAGGTCAACATCAACCCGCCGCTCATGCTGGGCCAGCTGCCGGACACTCCGGAAGAGCTGCTCAAACTGGACCAGGTGAGCTCGACCAACAGGTCTGCGGCGAACCTCGTCAACTTTCCTCCCCGTCACCCTCCTCCTCACCATCAACCACCTCCCCATTAACCACATCCCCGACAACCACCTCCCCGTCAACAACCTCCCCGTCAACCACCTCCCCGTCAACCACCTCCCCGTCAACCACTTGCCGTCAACCACCTCGCCGTTAACCACCTCCCCGTCAACCGCCTCCCAGTCAACCACCTCCCCGTCAACCACCTTCCCGTCAACCACTTTCCTGTGGCCGTCGGCCGTTCGCTGTTGTTCGCCAGGACACCCACCCACCCACGTTCACGATGGACTTGTGCGGGCATCACGTCCTGGTGACCGCCCGACTCACCCGACCCTCTCGACGAGGAGATCGATTTGAACGACACGTCCACCTCGTCCGACCCCTGCGGGTGCCCTGCGGCGGTCCCTGCCCTGCCGGTCCTTGGGCCGGTCTCTGGCCGGTCCTTGGCGCCCCTCGGCACCACCGGGGCGGTCCTTACCCTTCCCATTCCCGCCAGTACCTGGACCAGTGCCATTACTGGAGGGGGACCCGGTGTGTGCTTGGCTTCCCCTCCGCAAATTGCGCACACCACTCACGTTCCACATTAAATGTCTCCCCCCCCTCCCGCCTTGACTTAAAGTAATGAAGTGACGGCATATTTTTTTTCCTTGAGCACGAGTGATGCTATGGACTTATAAACGACGACGATCCTCTTTTTTTGACAGGTTTTCATCAAGTCGGAACTGAAGGTGGGCGTGCTGTTCGTGAAGGAGTCGCAGCATACGGAGGAGGAGATCTTGGACAACAACGTCAACTCTCCGCTCTTTTCCGAGTTCCTCCAAGTCTTGGGGGATCGTGTCCGCCTCAAAGGTAAAGCCTATCGCTTGCACCCCCATACAGACCCCTCCCCCCTCCCCATCTCCCTCGTAGCGGAGAAAAGGAAACGCGAGGAAGCAATTTTCTGTCTAGCCATGGCTGGTAGTGCAACAGCATCTGGCTGGACCATGACTATGACTGGTGGGACGAAACGCCCCAAGCCGGCCCCGGCCTGGCAGCACCCTCTCTGACACTGGTCGGGTGATGATTTTTGATTAGGAATAGTGTTTCTGTTTCCAAAAAGCACTCGCCCAGCCCTGAGCTCCAAGCCGTTCAGATTTTAGAGTCAAAAACGTTTTCCACTTTTCCTCTTTTTTTAAGGTTT